TCAGTTGATGATAATTTCACACAGGAAAAGCCCATGCCGATTAAAGTACATAGTCACGCTTCTGGCCTTTACCTGGCACAATATCAGTTTGACTGAAACTGCATTTTGATCAGTTAAAATTTACATTTGTACAAAATATAAAATATGATTAAATTTTCACCTCATGAAAACGTTTTTTTCTATCCATTTGAGAAAAATATATCCTCTTCAAATTTGTGATGGAGGTGTTCTGTGTTTCATAGTTTGGATAATCTTAAGACTTTGGGAGTTTCCTCTCGACAAACAGACAATTTATTTCTGATATCTCACAGTTCGCTGCTGTCGCTTCCATTTTCTCTTATTGTATCGGAGATTCTTCTGTTTCTGTTTTACATGTGCTGATGGAAATGGAAGCAATGCTTATACAGCTCACTTGGACGCGCTGCCAGTCTTTCTCACCTCCTGGCTTTTCTCTGTCTTTAGCGGGGGTGGATTTCTGGAGGCCTCTTTTAAGGCTGCATTTACAGGAAGATATATATTTATATGCGATTATATGGGTGAAATGTGCAATAACAATATGTCTTGCAGCAGATGGACAAAAAAAAAATATTTGCCTTCCTGGTAAACAGACCCTAGATAATCAGTTATTTATCCAGCTGATGAGGGGGGAAAACAATCAAATTCTTTTTCCATTAATTGGGTTTCATTGAAGAAGCTTTGCTTTTAAACAGCAAAAGTGAGATTAGCACCTCATTACCTCTATTTTATTAAAACATTTTGTGTTGGCATAGTAGATCTTAACAGCTTTGCTTTGTTCACGTTTCTCTACTCAGACTTCTCCTCCATTACAACTGTTTACATCGGTGTCTGCTTGTCCTCTGGATATTTGCATTTCTTTCTCTTAGCTGTCGATTCTTTGACATAGATTCTGTGGACTCAGTCATCAGAATCAACCTTTGATTGTTTAGGTAATTTTTTCTTTTTTTTTTTTTTTTTTTAGCACCAATGCTCATGCCTAGTTCTTAATCCTCCCCCTACCTCATCTTATTTGCATTTCCTTACAGTAGAAATAAGATATAATAACTATATCAAAGGCACCTTTGATATACTTTAGAAATTTACTTAACACAAAAAATCTCTAAAATATCCTTAAACGCATCTAGGTCTTTCCTTTCTCTTTGCACCACATTTGCTGTCAGTGTTCTGTTATACTACTGTACCCCAACATTAGAATAAAAACAAATCTTTTATATGAAATTCCCCGATGCTTAATCCCTATAGAAAAAAATGAAGGTTGATAATTCAATTGCATATTTTACATTCTTTAACTAATGAAAGTTGACACAAACGGTACTTTTTCCTGAAACAGACCAGTCTTTTGCAAAGACCCGTGCCCACAGATATGACTTTTACAAGGAGACGTCTGAGTACTGAATACTTTTTGATATATTTGAATTAAATGTCTTGGAGAAGCAACAGAGTGCATCTCAGAACTGGCTTTCTCACACTGAACAGTACTTTATCCTCCAAGATGCCTCAGTCGTATTGAGACTCCATTAGACTCGGTGTCACACCAGATGAGCGCTGCAGCTTCATAAAGGTGTAGTGTTTTACATGAGTTAGTAATGGTGTTTGATTAAGAAGTAAATTTCTTTTTGTTAACCTGGGATTATGTGGCCCCTTAGAAAGCTCCTCTTAATATTTCTGGCAGCTGTGGGTCCAGGAACATAAAGCTGTTAAGAGATGGACTTATCGGCCCCATATTTAAAACAAAATTTTGTGTCAAAATTAGGGATGCACGATATTGGGATTTTGGCCGATATCCGATATGCCGATATTTTAAAACTCATGTAGCCGATAACCGATATCGATACCGATGTTAAAGCTGGACAAAAATAAGTAGTCATTAAAAATAGCAGTTTTGTTATCCTTTTCTGACACTTTGAAAAATAATATACTCAAATATATTTTCATATGCTGATATCAAATAGATTTTTTAAAACGTGGTATCGATCTATTTTACTTTCAAAAGCTCGTGAAATTTCATCGTTCTGTTACAAACTCTCGTGATATTTTGCAAATTCTTGTGAGATTTTGGGATATTTTAATGTATCAATATTTTTTCCCTCGTCTTTAGAAGTTTTTAAGTCTGTAAAAAAGAAGTTTTTGAGGAAGAAGAAGAAGTAGTATTTTTTATTTTTTTTTTAGACTTTAGAAACTCAGAAGTTGATTAAATATCGGTGGGGTGGCCGATGTCCGATATTCAGTTTTAAGGCCGATACAGGCCGATACCGATAGGGGGCCGATTATATCGTGCATCCCTAGTCAAAATACACCCTGGTTCATGTCAAATGTTGAAAGAAGCAAAAAGGGATTTATGTTGGTAGGGTGGAATATGATGAGGACAAAGTGTATTTTTCAAGCAGCTGGCAGCCCTATTTTCTTGTCTTTACCTTTACTTGAACATCCTAGACCTTTCTGAGATCTGCAGCATGGAGCACACGACTATAGCAAACTACCTGGCTGTTGGTTCCTTTTTAAATACGCTGAATGGGTGAAGAATTACTAGAAGGATGGAAGGAAAAATTGGCTTCTCCTAGGGTGTCAATAAATCTGCCTGTACTGATTTTACTTTAAAAATATGATTAGATAAATTTGACGTGGATCAAATACTGATATCTCCAGAATACTGCACTGAAATCTTAAATGTTTGATTCACAGTGACCTTATTTCCAGACTGTTTTAAGAAAACGTTAACCTAAAGTTGCAGATTTCTAACACTTAAAATGTAAATGTTCAATATTTTTGGAGGGGGGATAAAATGATGCGGGAAATTCCATTAATATTTAACATCCCGTTATTCCTCTTCCTCCTACTTCAGTTTGTAATTTCCTCGCTCTTATACTCTGAGGACATGGTGCTGTTAAGAAAATAAAAACAAGCTGGAAGCTGAGCTCTGGAGCGCTGCAGTTATGAGTTGTCCAGAGTAGCAGGAGCTTCTGCGCTTCCTGCCATCTTGCTGATAGGAGCACAGCTGTCTAAACGCTGCCAGCAGCAGCATGTATTGGTTTAAAAAAAAACGGGCTGTGCACTGCCACAGCTTTATTTATCGACATCCTACTTTGCAGCTCTCCAACTCATCACATTTCAGGTAAATACCTGATCAGTGTAATTAAGATAATGGAGCAAACATTATAGAGAATTAGTGGCACTGATACAGGGACAGGCTACAGACAACGGATGGCTTTAAACAAAATGAGTCAACACACCACCTTGTAATTAGGATAATGGAGGATTACTCCACAAAATACAAAGGAAGAAAAAAAATCTACATCAAATCCAGTCAAAAGAACATCAAATAAATACTGGAAAGAGAGGTCATGTTGTCCTTTTCTGTCGAACAAGATGAAAGATCCACCAGTCACTGCGAGCTGTTGTTTTAAAATGCCTCTCCGTATGTGAATGTGCCACTCTTGGGTTAGGTATTGCTTGTACGGTCTTGGGTTGTAGAATTGCAATGTGACCCTCCCTCCTACACACCAGCCAGCTCCTCCTCAGTCTAACAGATTGGGTTCTGAGCAGCGATTGTGATAAAAGCAGAAACAAAGGCTCTGTGATGGTTTCTGTGCGTTTGGCCGTCTCTGTTTGGATTGGTTCTTGTCCTTTTCTGCAGAGACGTGTGGGTCATTAAAGCTTTTGGCTATGGCTGAGAGGTTTTTCACCTTGCAGAATTTTAATTACCGTGTTTTTCCCACCTCCCTTATATTCTCTCAATCAGAGTGCAAGTTAATGGTATAATCTCATCTGATGCAACCAAACCCCTGTAAACAAGCCTGCCCCTGGTTAGGAGAAAAATAATATCTGCAGTCTGAATGGGGAGGGGGGGTTCACTTTATAAGGCTCCATTAAATCCAGAACCTTTTTCCCAGCTGAGACCGACATCAAAGGGTGGGAAGGCTGGCGCTGCTTCCTCCACTGTGCTTATATATCTATATTTCTGACAGTAGGTCTGCGTGTCCCTGATAACGGGCTTTTGATTCCAGGCTCTTTCTTCCTCCTTTAGGAAAAATTATTCCTGTGTCCGGATGAATTTTTAAAAATTAATTATTTCCAACTCCTCAACATTGTCACCCAATAATCTACTGAAAATAAACTCAAAATGATTGTTTATGAGATGTAAAGATAAAAATATGCTTTTTCTATGTTATTTATTTATCCATTATTCTTAAAATAAGAATAATGGATAAATAAATTATTTTTTTAATGAATATAATTTATCTTTTTTTTATGTTTTTAATCCTCATTGGCTTTATTTTTGACTGGTGACTTTATTAATTGGGCAAAGAGTTTATTAATACAAAGCCGTAAACACTCAGTTAAAATGCAGTTTTACATTTAAAACAAGAAATAATAGTAATAGAATTTACAATAAATCACACAGAACAGAAAGTTATATATAGTTTTAAAAGTCAGGATAATTATCTAATTTTCTTCAATGCTTTTTATTTATTTCTTTAGTTAAAAGAACTTTGTGTAAAAAATGTCGCTCATGTCAGTTTTTTGTTTGTTTTTTTCTAACAAGATAATGGTACCAATTCTCAAGCTATGCTTCAGAGAATCTGTGTTTAGAGTTGGATTATTTGACAGGTCAAAGTGTTTAATGTATAATAGTGAGTTGATTTATGTTTGGTCAGATTTTATAAAAGTGCTGGAACCAATAAGCAGTCTTAGCTTGGTGTCATTTTTAATGGTTTCTGAGCAGTTATACTTTGTATTCAAATGTCTGTAATCTTTTAAAAAAAGGAAGATTTTTTTTAGAAAATAAAAGAATTGGAAATCACTTAAAAAAGAATGAATAGAAAAAAAGAAAATGATAATAGGCCTTTTTTTTGTTGAACATTCTATTTTAAGAATTATTAGACAGAAAGATATTGTGAAATGATGAACAATCAGCTAAGATTTACTTTATTTTAGCTCATCAGAACCCATTTGTCATTAATCGGGTCCCTTCTGTTCCTCAGGTGTGTCTGAAGTGCAGAGCTCCAGAGGTTTCTCAGTGCGTGTTCCAGAGCTACGAGGCGGTGCTGAAGAACTGATCCAAAAAGCCGAGCACCCGGTCAGCAGCTGCTTCACCAACACCGCAGCACCTTCTGCTCTCCCTTCACCGGCGTCCCAACCAACTCATACAGTCCTTATCTAAAAGGTTGCACCGTCTGCTCCTTTATTGAGGCACTTTTAGTTTCTGAAAAGACAGCATTGATTTGAGCTACTCAATCTTTATTCACTTTTTAGCTTCAGGGTTTTGTCTTTAGCAAAATGATTAGAACATCTATTGTCTGCTTTGCTTTTCTTTCAAAACGACCCGTATTCATTAGGGGCCAGATGGTGACCTGACTTCTGTCCTTCTAACTTCCTCAGCATGTGGCTCAACAATCATTTTCTATCCCCACTTCTCTGCAAACTTCACTCTATTTTTAGCACCTGCAATCAGCAGGTGAACCATCAGCTTCAGCATATTTATTAGGGGGTGCATTTAGGTTGTGGTGCTGGTGAAAGAGGCAAGTGTCAGGTGGACACGTAAATACTTAAACTACACTATAGTGATTTTATAAAGCTTTCTTTAGTGTCTGTGTGGAGCAGTGGATTTGGATCTACTAGCCCTAAAAGCAGAATGTCTGTCTGACGTGTGCATAGAAATCTGTGTGTTTTTTCTTAAATTTTTACATCAATATCTTGACATTTATAGAGTAGCAGCAGGTGTCAGCCCATTGCTCTCATGCTTCGTCATTCCATGCTTTATTTTGTGTTTTGTATTCTTGCTGTCGGTCTCCATGAAGCAGACTGGAAGAGAGCCTCTGGGTGCTTTTTTTTTTTTGTGTCCTGTCTGTTCCTGCGTCAGCAACGGCCTCTCAGGCTCTCTGCCACTCTGCTCCTCTTCCTCTGAATCCTCGCTGCAGCTCTCCACCGAAGATGAAGGCCCAGGTGACACAAACTGATGTCATCTGTTACAGATAAGAGCATACATGTAGGTAGAACACAGTCTCACCTGAAGGGGGGCTCATTTGTTTTCCGGGTCGTCACACTGAAGCCCTTTGTCTCAGTGGCATAATTGCACCTTCTCTACTTGGTGAAAGGCTGTGTATTCTTTGTGTGCAGTGACAGATGATTACGATGACATGCTGCGTTAATTAATCAGATGTTTAATCAGATGTTTTTTTATTTACTTAATTTTGCTGTATGTGTTCATCTAAAAAGACACACAAAAAAAACAATTAAAAGTCTTGATGAATCCATGTGGGGTTTCTTTTTCTTCTGATATTCCATATTACCCAGGATGTAAAACACTAAATCTGTCATTTAATAGACCCGATAGGTATGTTTTCCCACATGCTTTGTAACCACCATGACTCTGCTCCCCTAAGTCACCAGCTTCCATTGTTGCACACTTGGAGTCAGACGCTTTGCAGTCAAACCCCTGTCAAACCCCCCCTGAAATCCCACATCCTCCGTAAGCGCTCCATTCCAAACAATGTGTGCAAAGTGATGCCTGCAGCTTTCTCGGTTCCTCCCGTCTTGCTCCGCTCTGAGTTCCTTGTCTCTCGATGAGAGCATGCGCGATAGTATTTAATTCATAGGAACAAAATTCAATTTAATGAACGATTAATTTAATGTGACATAAATAAAACTCACCATCAGCATCCATCACCCCTGCAGTTTCTGCCCAAACATATTTTCATTATGAGTCTTTTGTAATAACGATAACTAGGATCATACAGAATTGGTTTGTTTTCTACGTCCAAAATCTGCATCTCTTCATCCATGCCTGTGATAACAGGCTTGTTTAAAAGTCGTGAGATGCACTCTTGGAAGTTGCTGTGACTGGATTTAACTAAACTTCTAAGCCTTTCAGTTTAAGATAAATATTTTGATTGAGATGAAAAATGCTGCTTCCTGGTCTGTTAAAGTACCAATAGTGTGCATCCAGTCAACCTGCCTTTATATATATATATATATATATATATATAATTTATGCTGAAATTAGTAAATGACAAACCAGATCTTTTCAGAGTTATTTTTCCTGTTTGGTGCGATTGCAATTGTAGATCTTTACCAGGCCAGCTTCCGGCGGAGCAAAAAAATGCTTGGCTTCATGCTTTTGATGGTGATTTTCGGAGGAGCAGCTATGGATGTTAAACAGTTCTCATTAACATGACAGTGCAAGTGTTCTGCAGGACCCAAAGCGTCGAGGAGTGCTGACTGAAGATATGGAATCTGAGAGTTACAGTTTTCTGTTAAAACGATAGTCTTGAATCTTTTAGCAAACCAGTTCAGTCCAATACCAAATTATGAAATGAAAGGAAAAAAAAAAAAAGACGATACTTGATTTTCCAAAACTGATGCCTAAAATCTGGATTATACAGTTGTGTGTAATTGTTTTGCAATCTTATTTAAATCCAGCATAGATCTGAGTATAAGGCCTCAAAGGTTTGTTAGAGACCAAAAAGAAATGATAACTTCTATAAGTCTAGTGCAATTGCTTGGATCTCTTCTACAACAGTCAGTCACAAAGGTGCAGTTAAAATCCTCAAAGTTCCTAAAAAGGCTTAGTCAAAGTCCAGATCTCTCATTTAACACCCAAGACTTGGAAGCATTTTTTTTAGCCTCTCCTCGCATTCTTTTCTTTTTGACTAAACTTGATCAATTTGGCTTCTTTAAGCAAAACAAGAGTCAAAAGATGAATGCTGCACATTTAAAATTTTTATTTTGAATGATAAATTCTTGTATCCTCATCCTTCCACTTAATGGTTATATACTATATCTTGATCAATCACCTAAAATACTAAGGTGCATCACATGATGTACCATGGCAAAATAAAAATAAAAAACAAGCTTAATAAGCATGAATATCTTTGTAAGCCAGTATGAGAACTGTATCCTGTCAGCACGAAGGTCAGTCTCCAAAGCAGCAACAAGGTTTTTAAGTCCAAAGTGCATTTTAAGTGTAACCAGGACTTCCACTGGTTGAGCTAATTTGAAATACAAATAATCCTGAACTCTAACTGGGAGAGAGAAATGTATTCTGTGTTCAGCAACATGGTAGCTGCTGTTGATAAAGTCACAGCTCAGAATCTGTGAAAGTGTCACTTTTTGTTCCAGTAATAGGGGAATCTGACATTTATCATCTGCTATAAAATAAATCCAACAGGGGGCACCAATTCACCTATGTTATTGGTACAGGCTCATCCTGGTTTACAGAACAAGCTGAAAATCGTTTCTACCTTTCAGTATAAATTAGTACTGTAGTGTTGAATGGGAAAACAGTGGGATTAAAACAAATAATCCAGTGTATTTAATGCCTTTAAGCAGTAAAGTACTGTATCATATCAGTCGTTTTGGATTTATTCCCAGATTCCATCCATCCACCTGTTAAATGTTTTATGACAGTGCAGCAAAAACATTGGCAGATATATGTTCATGTTGAGAGTGGAAAATATCAGACCATTATTTGTTTTTAATATTTTGACACTTGTAAGCTGGATAAATAAAGCTTTGATGGCTGAGCATCAGATTTATGCCTCATGAAGGACTAATCAGTCTGTTGCAAACAATCTAAACATGTCCACCAAACTGGCTTTGCCAGCACAGGGAACAGATTATTTTCTCCTCTTGTAAGCGCTTTGGTTGGTGAGATTTAAAGTTTGTTAATAAGGCTGATTCTAATAAAATATGTTTTTAGATGCTATAATATGTGTACATATAAACAAGTTACTATTGCTATGAGTAATGTTTGTTAAATGTATTGTTTCCTTGGCCTGTGACTGCAGATAAAATGTTGAGCAAAAGGTTCAAACATTTCTGGTAAAAAAAAAAACGTTCTACATCCATTTATTAACGTGAACGTTAATAAATGGATGCTAATTTGCAGGCTGCATTTGATTCATTCAGGGTTAATAGCTCAAAAAACGACTTAAATGAGTGAATTACACAAGTGTTATTTTATCAAAGATTTTCTCTTTGTTATTTTGTCTACAAAAAGGTCCAAATATACAGAACATATTGCTTAGAATAAAGACCTAAATCCTGGTATGATTTGATTAGATATTGTTTAGCAAGTTGTAGCACATATTTTTTTCAAGGTTTTTATGTAGCCATCACAAAGCCTCTTAAATGCCTGCCTGGGTGGTCAGATATCCAGGCAGGCATTTGTATGAAAAAAAACAAAAAACTGCATGGCTTTTAAATTGTTTAGTTTTTTTTTTCCTGAGAAGAGGTTTTCAACAGAGCCAACAGGTTTTGAAGTGTACTTTTTCAGAAGCCTTTTGTGCATTACAAGTCTAGTGTTTGGCTGCTATAGTCCTTTTTCCAATTGGAACATCAAACTATCCACGTTTCAACCATCTGACTCGGACAAATACCTTCAGAAGAACATCGATTTGTGAGCAACAGTCTTGGAATCTCAAGGTTCAGCAGGCTTGCCATGACCTGAAAACTACTGAAGCATCACTGTTCTCAGTCTTACAAGCTTTCTTTTGCCATATTATAGCAAGGTGTTGATGAAGGAGGAATCCTTTATAGCTGCTTATGTGTACCCAGACCATTAAGCTTTTTGGGTTCAAAGCTTCATGATCACCTGAGACAAAGACTGAGTGATTTCACCTCAAAATGGAAAATTTTAAAGAGGCCAATACCAGGCTTCCAAACAGAGCAGAAAACTCACTTCCACCTGATGTGGATCACAAGATGAGGAAGGTAGAATATTCAACCTCTCCTCAACTCAGTAGCAAGGAAGCTGAAACTTTGACATCACTTGTTAAAGGAAACTAAAATAAATTCAAACATCTGCAACCGATTCTCGTTTTTAGGATTAATTCGAGATGATTTTTCTGTTTATTTCACTCTGGACAAAAATAAGCTTTGTTAAAAAGTAAAAATGCTAATAAATTACGCATATTTATATATATATATATATATACTTTTTTTTTTTTTTCAGATCTGTATGCTGCCTTTTAACATGTTTTTCCATAACTACAGAAAGAAGCAATCAAAAACCGCCATGCAGCTCTGGTCCTGTCAACAAACAAAACCGTCACAGGTTTAATTAATCAATAAATCAATGAAACCTTCACAGTTTAAGTTTTCACAGTTTGTCAGAAGCTAATCTCCAGCTAGATAGATCAGGTTTTTTTTTTTCCTCCAAGTGGTCCACTGAGGGGAGCTGTCACCAGGCTGTGATTGATGCCACATATTGACTAAGCCTTACCTTTAGACCCCATCCAGCAGCTCAAACGTCACCTCAGAGATGTGCTGCACAGGCACTATGACCCCCGCACCGTGCTGATGCATGGTGCGGGGTGTTTGTGTGAGTGTGTGTCTTGATATTTTATCATTTATTCCGTGGCGTTATGGGAACACCGCGCTTTCACTCGCGTTTTGCGCACGACCTTATCCTATTGGAGAGAGAGAGCTCCTGTCTCTCCAACTGCAGACGCAAAGCGCTCCTGATCGCACTCTAGATGCCTTTACAGCTGACGCGCCTCTGTCGGCTGTGAGGACCCTTTGCTCCCACTTCCCTTGAGCATCAGAAAGAGAAACGGCAGGGAGGTTTAAGCCCATTGCAGAACACGTGCAGAGCCTCTTTACGAGTCCCCACGGCTGTGCGCCTTCCCTTCCTCCCCCCTCTGCCATGAACGAGCGCAGGCGGTGCTGCAGCGCTGGGAAAATGAGCGAGAGGCTCAGAGGAGGCAATCAGTGAAGGCGCGGAGAGCTCTTACGCGTCTGGGAAAGGTCGGAGCGGAGCGTGGATGAGATTATGTCCAAGTGGAGACTGCAAGGACGGACTTTGTTTTGCTCCTCTCCGGGGATGTCCTCAGAAAAAAAACAAGAGTTTGTTTCTTAGAGGTGACTAAGAACCCTTTCCCTCCGTTTGCAGGATCATGCTCGAGCCTCTATTTGTGACAATCTCTTGTTGCTCTCACCTGAGAATTGAAGTTTCCTCGCTTTGGATGATTTGTGTATTTTTTGCCCGCTGCTGAGGCCACCTAAGGCGGTTTTAGAGGCTGCAGCAGCAGGAGGATCCAGCTCTGTTTACTGGACGGTACGCATCTGTCCCTGTCGCTGTCCATGGTGCTGAACTGGGGCTCCAGGAATGGTGGAGACGCTGAGTATCGCAGTGATCGGTGCTCCCGGGGTGGGCAAAACTTCTATAATCCGCCAGTTCATCTATAACGATTTCTCGGAGGCATACACGCCGACCAGGAGCAGATATGTATACAGACCCTCGGCCATTCTGAACGGGAACATGTACGATTTAAAAATTTTGGACGTCCCGCCAATCTCCTCCTTCCCAGCAAGTGCCAGTCAGGTAATGTGGCTTACTTTTAAGCAGACATTTAACCCCTAAATGATTCTACTTTAACCTCATAAAAAAATAAAAAATAAAACATACATTCAATGATCTTAGTATACAGAAACATTCAGGTTACGTTTTCTTTTTTTTATTTTAACTCATCAGCACCTCTTTGGAGCTGCAACCAGAAGACAATATACAAACCTTATTTATCACATTTTCACTAACAGATGTCGTTACTAGTTGCTATGGAGACTGACTTAAAGCCTTGGAGCATCACTTTGTAAACTGCACCCCCTCCTGAGGAAATAATACATTTTTCTAATCGATCGCGAGATGTCTTCAGTAGATTTCTAAGTAAAACAGCAGAGCTCAGAGTCAGTTCATTTAAATGAGCTGATCATATGATGCTTCAGCTCCATCTACATAAACTCTGTATATGCAAAGGCAGAGCAGACTGGCCTTTTACACAACCAGGGGTCATCCTTGATCAGTAGAAGACAGATTTAAATAAATGATCATGTCAAGACACAGCTTTGGGTATCTTTGTTTTGCTTATATGAGATTTTAGAGAAATGTAATTCTATTTTGTCTTTTTTAGATCATGCTTTCGATTGCCAGTCACTCAAATGTTTGTATTTAAATAATGGTTGTGCAAATATTCGCAAATCAAAAATTAAGAATGTACATTTTTAAAGCTTTACTCTCTTAAATTAGTTTGACGGGGGTTTTCAGCAGTAATCCAAGTCCTAAATCCCATTTTTGTGCTGCCGCTCCTCCAGTGCTTAAACACAGAGGGAATTTGGAGGAATTTAGAAAGCTTAGAGAGAATCCCACTTTATGAGTCAAAGTCAGACGTCAAATGGCTGTGAATCATTTCTTTGTGATTTACATTATACACAGGGCTTTGCAATATTTTTTTATACCACTTGAACCTTTCCATGTTCTGTTGCATTACCACCAAAAAATGTGCATTTGCATTCAGATTACCTAGCTCATTGTTTTGTAGAAGACCTGTAGCTGTAGTTGCAGCCTCTGGGCTTTGATGGCTGTCTGGAAAATGAAATCCCTGATTCCTCTTCCAACCTTCGACAGTTTGGATCAAGAGCAACTGTCAGCATCAAATCTAACTTTCAAATTTAGTTCTGGACTTTGGGTAACATAGGGATGTGCTTTCATCTAACAGCTGTCATTGTATGTTTAAGTTTATTGTCCTGCTGGATGGTGAACCTCTGTCTTCATCTCAAATCCATTGTTTTAGGCTTTAAAAAATTTTCTTTAGGGGATTGTTTGTTTAAATTAGCATAATTTATATTCTCAACAACAGGGACTTGCCATGTCCTTCCCGAAGAGGAGCTTCCCTGAAGATCCTGAAATCATGCACTATGTTTCAGGGTAGGAATGGTGTGTTTTGGGTAATGTAAAGGCTGTGTATACCACCAGGACAAAGGAGTTCAATTTAGGTTTTACCTTCATCTATATTTGCTGTGTCCACTACATGACATACAGCAAACTACATATACACCTCTGTATAGCTTTATTTTAACCTCAACCTTCTTCTTGCTTCTTTTCCTTTAAATGTAAATCTGTAGTGAGCAACAGGTAGATTTACTCTCAGCATATTCTGCCACCACGTGCTGTGGATCTCAATATCCTCCTACATAAGAACCATCGGTCTCACGGTTTCTATTTTATGCTCACTTTCTTTCAACTGTAAGTTTAGGTGGGTGCCTGTAACTTTGCAGGTTGTGCAGCTCTCTTTCCATTTTTAGATTAGGCTTTTCATTGCTTTGGGACCTAATATTAGTTTAAACATGAGCATACAAATACATCTGACCTGAGTGCTGTGTCCCTTGGTCTCTACGATCCTGTTTTTTCTCTAATGTTGTCAAATAAACCTCTGAGGCCTTCGCAGAACACCTGAGATTAAGTTACATCCAATGGGAATTTGCTTATTCATTTGGTGAATTTTAAAAATATCAAATAAAGGAGGCTGAACACAAAGCAATATCCCACTTTCAGCTACTGTAGAGATTATCTTGGATTACTAAATCCTAAATGCTTGACCCTTGAAAGATGTGAGCCCATTAATAATTATCTCTTATAGCCAAATAAGTGTGTCTTAACTTGGCATCACACATCACATCTCCTCTGTATTGTTAGCAGTGTGTGTTTTTCTACTATCTGTGACGACTTTCATTAGAGAAAATCTCCCAGGTCAACACACCAACCTCTCAATTACTGTTCAGGAAACTGTCCTCTTTTCTAACATGTTGACTTTCACTGATGCTTTCTGCCAGAAAGGCCATAGTTATCTGACAGGGTGGGAGTCAACAAACAAGCGACCTGGGGAAGGCAGAGGGGCTAAAGCAATCTACCTGTCAGAATTACAGCTCTTCTTCCTGACCTGGTGTTTCATCTAAAGGTGATATAGGTCTGCAGCATTGTTTGCCACCAACTGGGACATTCTGTAAAGTTTTGTTCTGCTAAATAATTCCTCTAAGCAAACAGTGGGTGGGTGTGAACAGACAGCAGGAATAAAACAAGGTGAATGTCATGGGTTTAAACTATATGAGTGTACTGAATGTCTCCAACGGTTGACTCACATCGGCACGCTTTTAGCACACATGGCCAGCATAACAGTGTGCTGCTGCCACATTACCATTGGACTGATCTCTCGTCCCCTGTAGTATCCCGCTTGTCCTCAGTATGTTAATGTCGTCTGTTCACAGGCAGAGCGCTGATGGGGCAACATGTCTGAGGCACTGCGCCTCTCTGGATTGACCCCATCAGCTGAGATGAGTAGTAACCCGAGTCAGGGGCAGTGAGTACTAAGCAGCACACAAAGAACAGTGATTTAAATTTACTCGCGGCGTGCAGCAAATTGAATTAAAGCAGTGTTCCCAGTTACAATACTGCAGGGAATAGACCACCAATAGAGCTCTGAGTGGCTGCAGTCAATTAGACAGTTTCCAAAGAGCTTAATGGACACAGTAACATTGACCGAGCGTGGAGTAATCTCTCCTATGAAATTTGTGATGAATAAGCTAGAGGATACAGTGAGTCAGATCGCCTCCATGCCGATGCAGCCTGGCAGTTTCTCATCTTCTCAGATTATATTTAAAAAGGCTTTGAAAAGGCTTTTTATGCTTACTGGTCCCAGATTTCTGTTAATTTACTGAGATGCTTTAAATGATTTGTTTACTTGTCAAAATGTGTTTGCTGCTGATAGCATAGCTTTTAGAGAGCAACTGTCACTGTGTGGCAATAGGATGTGGTGACAGATGGATTTAAGTTTGATGGAGCATTTAGCATATTGTCTTGTTTTTTGTTGTTGAATGTTTTGTTTTCCTGGAGTCATTAAGTATCTGCTTCCACTCACTGAAGATGCCCCCTTTGCCTGCTCCCCTATAAATTATTTCTCAGTTCCCACTCTTTACATAACACATTGTGGCGTTTGAACCCATCTGTGAAGGGATCTACAATTTACCTAAATGCTAAGAGAATGATAAAGTTTTTTCAGATAATGTTTTCCCCTGTTTTCAAAGCTCTTTGTGAAGCAGCTCAGCAAACAACTGAAAAATTTATGATTTAATGTTTTATACTTTCATTTGCATGCTGCTATGCTACGCTTTGTATTAGAAAAGGTTTTTATTATTGTCCTGGTTTTTCTGCGTTTTTGCAGGTGCTTCAGAGAAGCATCCATGAGCAATAATCTATATTCTTTTCTGAATTTTCTCTTATTAGATTAAAATTGTTTATTGATTAAAAATGGAACCAACACAAAAGGACAAGACCAGAAGGTTGATCTGATTTTGCTGGGATATTAAGATCAATGTGCAACCTGTAAGAAATCCAAGCAAGGCTTCAATTTCAATTTTGTATATTAGTTTTGGACTTGTCAGATTTTCTCATGTGCTCCCTGGTGACCAAAGCTGACAAAGTCAGAAAAAGCCAAGTGAGGAAACATTATATTTAGAGACTTAAACATTCTACATTTGATCTAATGTGTAAACTTTGCTACCTTTTTGTCTGTATAGTGTCTTTTTTTTTTTTTTTTATGCTTTTGTGAAATCTATTTCCATTTTGACTGGTCTTCATATTTTCACTCTGTTTTTGTGCAGCTTTTGGTCATTCAAGTAAGTTTTCAACAGGCTTTGCCTAAACATGTAACGTGAGAAAGATTTTTTGTTTTCTATGATTGAACAAAAGATAAACAGCTTCTATTATCTCTATGTGGAGAAATTTTGATTTAAAGTCATTTAGCTCAGTCCAGCTTCTCACCACCTCTGACCAGGGCTGACCCTGCACTTCTGAAGGAAAAAACAACCTCATATTAGTCATCATGTGTTAGTTTTCATTAAGATTTATATTTTATTTGCAGAGAGACCAGAAAAATGAAATGTATGTCTTTGAAGCAAAAGTTGTTTTTTTATCGTTTTTTTTTCATCACTCTTCAATGTTGCTATCCTGTGGAGTGATTCTCCCACCTGAGCTGTGAGTCTCTGCAGCTCCTCCAGTGTTACCATTGCTCTATTGGTTGCTTAATGGTTAATGTTTTCCGTTTCTAGTCTGTCAGTTTAGGCTAGACTCAATTGAAATATCTTAGTGGGTTTGCAGTTCTGCAGTACTCTTTTCCCTCCAGAATGATAAACTGAACAGTGATTCTAGGAGCTTTATATAATTTTTTTTACACCTAATTCTGTTTAAACTTCTCATCATCTTTCTCTTTGAATTCTCTGCTGTGTCCCTTTGTTTTCATGATGATGTTCTTTATTTACTAATGTTCTCTAACAAACCTCTGAGGCCTTCACACAACAGCTGCATTCTGAGAATAAATCACACGCAATTATACTCTATTTACTAATTAGGTGACTTCAAAGGCATTTTGTTTGGGGATATCATACTGAAAGAGAGTAAATTGAAATAATTACTGTATTTTCACCTTTTTTCTCTGTAAATATTTTTTTTCTTTGTCTTAATAATGCCTTTGCATTACGTACACATGGTTGTTC